AAAAAAAAAAAAAAAAAAAAAAAAAAGAATAAAAAAGAAAGAAAAGAAAAGAAAGAAAAACACTTGAAATGCAAGTGCCCTTGTTCAAGTTTTGTTACAAAATCTCTTTTGTGGTGGTGTCTGTTTGTTCTTTGATATGTGGGTGAGTGGGATCCGGAAAGTGAGAAAGGGTGCTTTTTTTGGAGAAATATTTGGTTCCCTGAGATGGCGAGTTTCCAGCGGCAGCTTCCACAATGTCTTGCTAGGCGAAGTTGGCAGACAGCAGGTGGGCCGCCTCGGGAAGAGCACCTCCTTCCGCGCCAAGCCCAGCGGCTCCCTGGGCGCCGGCCCTCCCTCGCCCCCACCCGCGCCGTCCCGCGGTCCAGCGCAGGAGACCCGTGGCGCGGACGCGCGCTTCGGAGTGGAGGGCGGCGCCCAGGACCCTGGTGGGAGTGTGTGCGTCGCGCGGGAGAGCCGGAGGCTGGGGTGGGAGGCGCCGGTCGAGGGAGCCCGGCTCGCAGAGCTCCAGCGGAGGAGCGAGGGGAGCGCAGACCCCGGCGCCCAATGCTCGCCATGGGGCGCCCCCCGAGCCCGCGACCGCTGCCGCCGGTATTCCTGATGTTGCTGCTGCTGCTGCTGCCGCCGTCGCCGCTGCCTCTCGCAACCGGTGAGTGTCCGAGCGCGCACCGGCCGGGGCTGCAGGGGGAGGTGGAGGTGAGGTGAGGTGAGGTGAAGCCCGGGGCACCTGCCCGGCGAGGGCGCAGCCGCCTCCGGTACATCCGAGCCGAGCCAGGGGAACTGGAGCAGGAAGCCCAGGGTGTCTGCAAGGGGCCGGGGTCACCCCTAACACAGTGTCCGAACTGAGGTAGACTGAGTGCCAGCAATGGCCTGGCCTCCCAATCATCTCCTCTCTGCCCTCCTCTCCCCCTTTTCCTTCTTTTGAGGTCGGTCTACACAGTCACAGAACAACCCAACCTACAGTCAGGCAACTACCAAGACAGCGTCTCTAGGAGGCAGAGAGAATCAGATCAGAAAGAGTGTGATTTCCTCCACGTGGACTTTAACTCTTCCTTCTGCTTTAAGGACTGAGGAAGAAACTAGGTACAGGTGAAGAAAAGAAGTTTGTTAGAACTGACTTGTTTTATGACCTTCTATAATAGCAGGCCTTGCAAGCCGTCTAGCACAGTGCCTTGCCCTTTGGATAACAAATAATCCATAATAGGTGTTTTGTAGTTCAAAGCCTGGTTTTAGAACCAGGCCACTCCCACAAGGAAGGACAGCCTGGGATCCGAGGTCCCTGGAAGGTCCATGACATTCTTGAGTGGGATGGGTGTGTGGAATCTCATTAAGGGGCTCCTGCCCAGAGACTGAATGGAGGGACGCCTGAGACAGTAAGACCACCACACTGCCCTCAGTCCACAAGGCAGTGATGCAGAAATGCTTCCTTGAGACAAATGTGGAAGGAAGGAGGGAAAACCCTGGTCAGTCTACCTGACAACATCAGTAAGTCAGGGCAGCAAGACATCACCAGGACTGATTTGACTGCCCAGGAAATTTCACTAATCCTAAAGGTTATGGTTGCATGTCAGGATCAGGGGAAAACATTAAACATCTTCCTTATTAAATGATTTAATAAAGCAGAGTTGGTGACAGATATATTTTCCACGGTAATATTTGACAGCAATGATTTCTGGTTAAGTGGCCTCATTGAAAATCCATAAAACAGTCATCTAGGAGGTGCCGTGTAGGGCCAAGTGCTCTTCAAGAGCACAGACCAACAGAGGGCTTTAACAATGGGGTGGAAAATACCACTGCTCAGGGCCTGCTAAAACCAAGCATATAGGAGACCTCCGATTCACAAGGAACTGGTGTCAGGTACTGAAAATCCTTCTGAAGTAGATAGGAGGGCGGAGTCCTGGGTTCTAGCCTTGACTCAATCTTGACTTACAGCATTCCCTGGTGCACATTATGTTTCTTTGTTCATCCATCTATAAAATGGGTACCTGGGCTATGAGCCTCATTGGGGAGAAACAAATGAGGATCTTGTGGCCTCAAGCATAGCCTGATCTGAGCTATTTTGCAGCTACTCATTCTCTGATGAGCCAAGAAGCAGAAAACAAACTTATAAAACCAGGGTGCTAAGAAATCGGTGTGAAATAGACATGGCAGTGGCTGCATAAATGAGGAGGTGGGGCAAGTACAACAGAGAGTGGTAGGGACTATAACAAGCTAGAAAAGGCATGACATGTCAAAAGGGGGCAGTCATTACTCAACTCCTGTTACATGTGGGCCCAAGTGTTTCCATTTTTCAAGACAAATTGGAAATTCATAGTTTTATTTGACATCTGATCTTTTTTTGAGACAGAGTATCAATCTGTCACCGAGGCTGGAGTTCAGTGGTGTGATTCCAGCTCACTGCACCCTCGACCTCCCATATTCAAGCGTCTGCCTTAGCCTTCCGAGTAGCTGGGACTGTAGGAGTGTGCCATTACACCGGGCTAACCTTTGAATTTTTTGTAGAGATGGGTTTTTGCCATCTCTGATGCCCAGGCTGATCTTGAACTCCTGGTCTCAAACAATCTGCCCATCTTGGCCTCCCAAAGTGCTGAATTATAGGTGTGCGCCACTGTACCTGGCCTTAAATCTGATTTTAATTTTAATTTTATTTTATTGTGATTTTTTTTCTTTGAGATGAAGTTTCACTCTTGTTGCCCAGGCTGAATGAAGCGCAGTGGTGCGATCTTGGCTCACTGCAACCTCCACCTCCTGGGTTCGTGATTCTTCTGCCTCAGCCTCCCGAGTAGCTGGGATTATAGGCGCATGCCACCACGCCCAGCTAATTTTTGTAATTTTAGTAGAGATGAGGTTTTTCCATGTTGGTCAGGCTGGTCTTGAACTCCTAATCTCAGGTGATCCACCCGTCTCAGCCTCCCAAAGTGCTGGGACTACAGGCGTGAGCCACTGCGCCCAACCTAATTTTATTTTTTACTTATTTATTTTTTTTGAGACAGAGTCTTGCTCTGTCGCCAGGCTGGAGTACAGTGGTGCGATCTCGGCTTACTGCAGCCTTGTCTCCCCAGGCTAAGGTGACTTTTCCCACCTCAGCCTCCCAAGTATCTGGGATTACAGTCACATGCCACCATGCCCAGCTAATTTTTGTATTTTTAGTAGAGACAGGGTTTCAACATGTTGGCCAGGATGGTCCCAATATCCTGACCTTGTGATCCGCCCACCTCAGCCTCCCAAAGTGCTAGGATTATAGGTGTGAGCCACTACACCTGGCCTAAAATCTGATTTTTAAATGTCGACCATTAATTACAACTTTAAGAAAAGACTGTGAAAATGCAAACACACAAACAAACAAAAACCCAAAACCAAAAAAAACTACCCCCCCCAACACACACACACGTACAAACAGGAAAAGAAAATACTGCCAGGCGTGGTGGCTCACACCTTAATCCCAGCACTTTGGGGAGCCAAGGTGGGTGGATTGCTTGCGCTCAGGAGTTCGAGACCAGCCCAGCCTGGGCATCATGGTGAAAGCCCGTCTCTACAAAAGATACAAAAATTAGCTGGGCATGGTAATGCATGCATGTTGTCTCAGCTACTTGGGAGGCTGAGGTGGGAGAATCACCCGAGCCTGAGAGGTTGAGGCTGCAGTGAGTGGTGATTTCATCACTATACTCCAGTCTGGGTGACAGAGATTCTATATTAAAAAAAAAAGAAAGAAAGAAAGAAAAGAAAATAACTATGCTGACTAAAGAGAACACATTTGCACACTGGATCAAATTATAACCTTTGTCCTGGATCAAGTCATGTGTTTTACAATCTAGGAAGCACAAATTTCACCTTGTTGAGATGAAATTTAACGTGGTCCCCAAGTTCTTTGTTGAGATGAATCCCTCTAAATTCACCATTGTTCAAACTTGGTAAAGTGTGTCAGCTAAGACATTGTTTTCTTTTGAAAATGTTTGCAACTCGGGTGGGTGCAGTGGCTCATGCCCGTAATCCCAGCACTTTGGGAGGCCAAAGCGGGTGGATCACCCAAGGTCAGGAGTTTGAGACCAATCTAGCCAACATGATGAAACCCTATCTCAAAAAAAAAAAAAAAAAATTACAACTCAATAGTTAGTATAGTTCAATATTTATGTCCGGGTGCATTGGCTCATGCCTGTAATCTCGGCACTTTGGGAGGCCTAGGCGGGCGGATCGCCTGAGGTCAGGAGTTTGAGACCTGCCTAATCAACATGGAGAAACCCCATCTCTACTAAAAATACAAAACTAGCCGGGCATGGTAGTTCATGCCTGTAATCCCAGCTACTCAGGAGGCTGAGGCGGGAGAATGGCTTGAATCCGGGATGCCAAGGTTGCGGTGAGCTGAGATTGCGCCATTGCACTCCAGCCTGGGCAACAAGAGTGCAATTGTCTCAAAAAAAATTATTTTTCCAGTTACAGCAATAGGATTTGAATCTGCTACTTTTTTTTGAGATGGAGTTTCGCTCTTGTTGCCCAGGCTGGAGTGCAATGGCACAATCTTGACTCACCGCAACCTCTGCCTCCCAGGTTCAAGTAATTCTCCCGCCTCAGCCTCCCGAGTAGCTGTGATTACAGGCATGCGCTACCACACCTGGCTAATTTTGTATTTTTAGTACCCCAGCAAATTTTGTATTTTTAGTAGAGACAGGGTTTCTCCATGTTGGTCAGGCTGGTCTTGAGCTCCTGACCTCAGGTGATCTGCCTGCCTTAGCCTCCCAAAGTGCTGGGATTACAGGCATGAGCCACTGTGCCAGCCGAATCTGCTACTTTTCTTTGTGTATTTAACACTTACTTATTGGGTATCTACCAGAAGTAACATCGTAAATTTGTAGAAAGTCCTCAATCTTTTAAAGCCATATTCCTCTTTTGGTAAATATATAAAATCTCATACCTTTCTTAAATACTTTTTGAAATCTCAAAAGCTTTTTTTTTCATCTTATACATGTAAAATTATCAAATAGTGTTTTTGGAAATACATATTTCCTAGAGAAATTCTGATATACTTTTTCTTTTCCATAGATTATTGGAGTACACACAGGTAGTGTTTGGTTACCTGAGTAAATTCTTTAGTGCTGATTTGTGAAATTTTGGTGAACCCATCACCTAAGGAGTATATACTGGACCCTATTTGTAGTCTTTTATCCATTCCCCACCAAATCCCCAAAGTCCATTATATCATTCTTACACCTTTGCGTCCTCATAGCTAAGCTCCCACATATCAGTGAGAACATACGATGTTTAATTTTCCATTCCTGAATTAATTCACTTAGAATAATAGTCTCCGGTCTCACCCAAGTTGCTGTGAATGCTGTTAATTCATTCCTTTTTATGGCCGAGTAATATTCTACCTTATATATTGATATATATATATCTATATATAGCACAGTTTCTGTATCCACTCATTGATTGATGGGCATTTGGTTTGGTTCCATGATTTTGCAATTGAGAATTGTACTGCTATAAACATGAGTATGCAAGTATCTTTTTCGTATAATGACTTCTTTTCCTCTGAGTAGACACCCAGTACACCCAGTAATGGGATTGCTGGATCAAATGGTAATTCTGCTTTTAGCTTTTTTTTTTGAGATGTAGCCTTGCTCTGTCGCCAGGCTGGAGTGCAGTGACGTGATC